TCACCATCACTATCACCAACATCACTATCACCATCACTATCACCAACATCACCATCACTATCATCACTACCACCAACATCACCATCACTACCACCAACATCACCATCACTACCACCATCACTACCAACATCACTATCACCAACATCACCATCACTACCACCATCACTACCACCATCACTACCACCAACATCACCATCACTACCGCCATCACTATCACCATTACTAACATTACTATCATCATCACTATCACTATCACCAACATCACTACCACCAACATCACCATCACTACCATCAACATCACCACCACTACCACCATCACTGCCACCAACATCACCATCACGATCACTACCACCATCACTACCACCATCACTACCACCATCACTACCACCATCACTACCACCATCACTATCACCACTACCACCATCACTATCATCATCACTATCACTGTCACCACCATCACTATCACCATCACTACCACAAATACCACCATCACTACCACCATCACTACCACTATCACTACCACCATCACTACCACCAACATCACCATCACTACCACCATCACTACCACCATCACTATCACCACTACCACCATCACTATCATCATCACTATCACTATCACCATCACCACCACCATCACTACTACCATCACTACCACTACCACCATCACTACCACCATCACTACCACCACCATCACTACTACCACCATCACCACTACCACCACCATCACTACCACCATCACCACCACCACCATCACCACTACCACCATCACTACCACCACCACCATCACTACCACTACCACCATCACTACCACCACCACCATCACCACTACCACCATCACTACCACCACCACCATCACTATCACCACCACCATCACTACCACCACCATCACTACCACCACCATCACCACTACCACCATCACCACCATCACCACTACCACCACCACTACCACCACCATCACTACCACCACCACCACTACCACCATCACCATCACTACCACCACCACTACCAGTACTCAGCTCCGTGTCTCCCCCGTGTTGTCTCCACGCCAGACCTGGACGACTGCAGCTCACGCCCCTGTCAGAATGGCGGCACGTGTGAGGATGGCATCAACTCGTACGACTGCGTGTGTCTGCTGGGCTTCATTGGGACCAACTGCGAGACTGGTACGGGGAGAGGGCATGGTGGGGGGAGATCTGGGGGGGACAGCGGCGGGAGGGGAGGTCGAGGTTGTGGTGGCATCCTCCGGGTTTATTCTCCATTTTGTTGAGCTGTCACGTGTGGCCAGGTGGCTTCTGACAGACAGCTGTGTAGCTCAGTGGGCCTTACCTGGCAAAATGTAATAATTATTGTTGATAGCAGCAGCAGCAGCAGCAAACGCATCAGAATCATTAGAGTAATCAGCAGCAGATTCATTCTTCTCATCATAATCATCATCATAATCATCATCAGCAGCAGCCGTAGAATCATCATCACTATCAACGGTGGTGGCAGTAGCAGCAGTCACCATGAGCAGCAGTGAAATCACCGCTGCCATCAGCGGTAGAAGTTGTGGCAAAATGAACGTCGGTTGATCACGTCGCAGCGATCGGCACCAGCATGATCATCATCAGTAGCTGCAGCATCAGCAGAATCATCATCAATCCTATTATAATCGCCAATCAGAATGCATCGCTATGCCAGTTGCATGTGCAGTTACATTAGGTTACGTGTAAGACCTCTGGTAATTAGTAACGAGAAAGATTAAATTGCTGCTCAAGTTTTCATTCGTTTATTTATGTACATTGAACTTCTTTCACACCGTACATAACCAAACGCGGTAATCTGAGGTGCGGTATGTTTACTCCAATGTGTTATTTTTTTACGGTGGTGGTGCTGGTGATGATAGTGGTGATAGTGATGGTGATGATAGTGATTGAGATGGTGGTGATGGTGGTGATAGTGGTGGTGATAGGGATGGTGGTGATAGTGATTGAGATGGTGGTGATGGTGGTGATAGTGGTGATAGTGATGGTGGTGTTAGTGATTGAGATGGTGGTGATAGTGGTGGTGATAGTGATGGTGGTGATGGTGGTGATAGTGATGGTGGTGATAGTCACGGTGATGGTGATGATAGTGATTGAGATGGTGGTGATGGTGGTGATAGTGGTGGTGATAGTCATGGTGGTGTTAGTGATTGAGATGGTGGTGATGGTGGTGATAGTGGTGGTGATATTCACGGTGATGGTGGTGATAGTGATGGTGATAGTCATGGTGGTGATAGTGATGGTGGTGATGGTGGTGATAGTGGTGGTGATAGTCACGGTGATGGTGGTGATAGTGATTGAGATGGTGGTGATGGTGGTGATAGTGGTGATAGTGATGGTGGTGATAGTGATGGTGGTGATGGTGGTGATAGTGGTGGTGATCGTCACGGTGATGGTGGTGATAGTGATTGAGATGGTGGTGATGGTGGTGATAGTGATGATAGTGATGGTGGTGATAGTGATGGTGGTGATGGTGGTGATAGTGATGATAGTGATGGTGGTGATAGTGGTGATAGTGATAGTCACGGTGATGGTGGTGATAGTGATTGAGATGGTGGTGATGGTGGTGATAGTGGTGATAGTGATGGTGGTGATGGTGGTGATGGTGGTGATGGTGGTGATAGTGGTGATAGTGATAGTCACGGTGATGGTGGTGATGGTGGTGAAAGTGATAGTGATGGTGGTGATGGTGGTGATAGTGGTGATAGTGATAGTCACGGTGATGGTGGTGATGGTGGTGATAGTGGTGATAGTGATAGTGATGGTGGTGATGGTGGTGATAGTGGTGATAGTCACGGTGATGGTGGTGATGGTGGTGATAGTGGTGATAGTGATAGTGATGGTGGTGATGGTGGTGATAGTGGTGATAGTGATAGTCACGGTGATAGTGGTGATAGTGATGGTGGTGATAGTGATGGTGGTGATGGTGGTGATAGTGGTGATAGTGATGGTGGTGATAGTGATGGTGGTGATAGTGATGGTGGTGATGGTGGTGATAGTGATGGTGGTGATAGTGATGGTGGTGATAGTGATGGTGGTGATGGTGGTGATAGTGGTGATAGTGATGGTGGTGATAGTGATGGTGGTGATAGTGATGGTGGTGATGGTGGTGATAGTGATGGTGGTGATAGTAATGGTGGTGATAGTGATGGTGGTGATGGTGGTGATAGTGGTGATAGTGATGGTGGTGATAGTGATGGTGGTGATAGTGATGGTGGTGATGGTGGTGATAGTGGTGATAGTAATAGTCACGGTGATGGTGGTGATAGTGATTGAGATGGTGGTGATGGTGGTGATGGTGGTGATAGTGATAGTCACGGTGATGGTGGTGATAGTGATTGAGATGGTGGTGATGGTGGTGATGGTGGTGATAGTGATGGTGGTGATAGTGGTGATAGTGATGGTGGTGATAGTGGTGATAGTGGTGATAGTGATGATAGTGATAGTGATGATAGTGATGATAGTGATAGTGATGATAGTGATAGTGATGATAGTGATAGTGATGATAGTGATAGTGATGATAGTGATAGTGATGATAGTGATAGTGATGATAGTGATAGTGATGATAGTGGTGATAGTGATGATAGTGATAGTGATGATAGTGATAGTGATGATAGTGATAGTGATGATAGTGATAGTGATGATAGTGATAGTGGTGATAGTGATAGTGATGATAGTGATAATGATGATAGTGATAGTGGTGATTGTGATAGTGATGATAGTGATAGTGATGATAGTGATAGTGATGATAGTGATGATAGTGATAGTCACGGTGGTGATAGTGGTGATGGGGGAACCAGCAGCATTGCAGTTAGCGCACTGCACCACGAACCCGGCGATCCGAGTTCGATTCCCGCTCATGACGAATATCAGTGGCGAATATTTGAACCGGTCCTGGGCCTCCTCTAGGTCGACTCAGCCTCAAATGAGTACCTTGTGCGGTGTGTAGTAAACATCGCCGCTGTGGAGACAAAAGGCGGCCGGGCCTGGTTGCCGGCCACCCACCCCCCTCGCGTGCCACAGTGCCGGCCTTCACAGTCGCTGCTGCTGCTGCTGCTGCTCGCTGACAGCGCTTGCCCCGACAAGTCTGCGAAGGCTACACGGGGGACCTTTGTCTTTGTCCCTCCGCAGACGTGGATGAGTGCGCCTCGAGCCCGTGCCGTAACGGCGCTCGCTGCGACAACAACGTCAACGCCTACGCCTGCGAGTGCCTGCCCGGCTTCGCGGGCACCAACTGCGAGACGGGTGAGCCGCTCGCCCGGCACGCCCGGCACGTCCACGGCACCTCGTCGCCCCGGCAGCGTTCCCAGCGGCGGGTTGACCGCGCCTCGTGGGCCGGTGTAGCTGCGTACGGCTGAACTTCTCTCTCTCGCACGTAGCCAGCCGTGCTCATTTGGAGGTGCGGGGGAAGGACGGCAAACTGAACACAAAAAGCAGTTCCTAGGAAGTGAGTGAGTTGTCGAAGCGAGATGATGACTTTACAGCGCACAGCTCCAGCGGCTTTTCCAATATCCCAAGGAAGAAGCGTTCCAGACGGCCCGCAGAAGCGCGTCTGCAGGGGCCGCGATGCGGTGACCACCGTCTTTGTTTCGGTGGCCAGCAACAAGTTGCTGCTGCTGCTGCTGCGATGACGTTGACCATCAACGGTGATGGCTGACGCTCCTTGACGAGACCAGCGCGGTGCTGCCGTTCGTTTGTGAGCTGCAGTTTGCGTGAACGCCGACCCCGCCGCACAGAAGTCTACCACGGTATCGACGGCATCATCATTGCCCTTATTGTGACGTCACTCGCGCGCACGTGGGGAGCGGTGGTGTGGCCGTCAGCGGGCCGCGCTACGAACCCGGCGAGCCGAATTCCATTCCCGCTCACGGCCAGCTCCATTGACGGTGATCTGAACCGGGTCCTGGGCCTCCACTAGGTCGACTCAGCCTCAAACGAGTACCTGGCGCGGTGTGTAAAAACGTCGCCACCGGGGAGACAAAAGGCGGCCGGGCGAGACGTTGGCCACCCACCCTTTCCGTGTGCCGTGCCCTTCCTTCATAGGTGGCGCCCGCCAACGGCGCTTGCCCCAGCAGCCTGCGCAGGCTATCCGGGGGACCTTTGTCTCTGCGTGTCTTCGTGTCTTCACAGACATCGACGAGTGCGCTTCGAGGCCGTGCCAGAACGGAGCACGCTGCAGCAATGCCGTGGCCTCATATTCCTGCCAGTGTCTCCCCGGCTTCTCCGGAGTGGACTGCGAGATAGGTGAGTGGGCGCCGTCGTGAGGGGGGGGGGCAGGGGGGGCAGGGGGGGGCTGGGGGGGGGGGTGGGGGGGCAGGGGGGGGGCGGGGGGGGGGGGCGCCGCGTGTCTCGTTTGTCCTGCCACGGCTCTCGATGGTAGAATTGAGTTTTCTCTTATTATTATTTTTTTTATATAAAAAACATCCTATTATAATTGCTTATTATTTTATTGCTTGAATTACTTTTGTCATTAACTCTTTATTATTATTGTACGATTTAATGTTATTACATTCTATTATTGGTATTTTACGCAATATTTTCCAATATTGTCATGTATTTTTTTTCTTTCATCACTTTATAAGTTGCCCCCGTGATGATGAGCCCACTTCGTTGAGCGATCTGACAAAGAGCTACGTAGCAGCATCTCAGTGGGGCTTTACCCTGGTAAAATAAAAAATAAACGATTCTTTGAGTTTAGTAAAATAACAAATGGCAGTTGGACATTCAGCGCAACGTATCAGGCCACTTCGCCCAGATCCGGTGAAATTCAAAGGTGTTGACCGCCCCCGCCACCCCGTGTGGTGAGTTCGCACCCCCTAATTCATCATTCCGGATTTCTCAACAACTTCGCCCGTGATACTTGAGTGTCAGAGCACACGCGCGCGCTCGATGTGCACGCCTGGGGCTCTTTCTAGCGGGGTCGGAGTGTGACGGGAGGCCGCTCGTGTCGAGTGGCAGCCGCGAGGCCGGAGAGGTGGCACGAGACAAGATCAGCGTCGTCGTCGGCAAGCAGAAACGGCAGCATCATCATTATTAGCAGCAGCAAGTAGCAGCAGCAGCAGCATCATCATAAGTAGCATCAGCATCAGCAGCATCAGCAACAGCAGCAACAGTAGCAATAGTAGTATCAGCAGCAGCATCTTCATCATTATTAGCAGCATCATCAGCAGCAGCACCATCAGCAGCAATCAGCATCATCATCAGCAGCAGTAGCATCATCAGCAACATCAGCGGCAACAGTAGCAATAGCAGCATCATCAGCATCATCATCAGCAGCAATCCACTGCTGGATGAAGGTCTCCACCCAAGTAGCCATCTCCTCTCGTGATCCTGCGATGTAACACTCCACCTGGCTTCGGCACATGATCCGTGATCTGATGATTTCATCGCTCCATCTCCTCTGGGAACGTCATCCGGGATGAATTCCCTCCCTTGGCCGGCAATCCGTTCTTCTTATTATTATTTCTACTAAAACTTAAAAAAGTGAGTGGCACTTCATGGCAAGTCAACAGTGGCTGTCCAAACAATACACTGACCCCTGCCATAGGAATGTGGAATTCTCACCACAACCCCATGCTCATTTAAAAATGTAGATTTATTTTGTATTTGTTTAACTTTGAAGTGATAACATTTGAGGTGTGTGTCTAGTAAATTGTGTGTGTGTGTGCGTGTGTGTTTCAGATATTGATGAATGTGCGTCAAGTCCGTGCTACAACGGAGGGCGCTGCTTGAACGAGGCCAATCGGTGGAGGTGCGAATGCTTGCCCGGATTTCTGGGAGATCATTGTGAGACAGGTGAGTGGGTCGATGGGCGATTGGGCGAGTGAGTGGGTGAGTGGGTGCGTGGGTAAGGGAGTAGATTAGTGAGTAGGTAGCTGAGTTTGTTTGTGGGTAGGTGAGTGCGTGAGTTGGCAAGTGGGTGAATGAATGGGCAATGAGTCAGTTGGTAGGTGGTTGGGTGAGTGAGTTGGTAAGTGAGCAGGCGGGTGGGTAATTGAATGAGTTTGTTTGTGGGTGAGAGAGTTTGTTATTGAATGGGTGATTGAGTAGGTGAGTGCGTAAGTGTATGAGTGAGTTGGTGGGGTGATGGATGAGTGAGTTGGTGAGTGTGTTAGTGGGTGGATACGTGCGTTTGTGGATTAATGAGTTGGTATGGTGGTGATTGGGTGAGTGAGTTAGCTAGGTAAGTGCCTCTGTGTGCCATTGAGTGATTGAATGAGTTAGTGCGTGAGTGAATTAGTGAATAAGTGAGTGCGTGAGTGAGTTGGATGAGTGAGTCTATGAGTGTGTGGGTGAGTCATTGGCAGCTGGTGCCATGGGGAAAATGAGCAGTATCAGAATCAGAAACTTGTATTTATTCTGGAGAAATCCGATGAGCTATGAAGCTCCTTTTCACACATGTCTAGCAGAGTCAAGACAAGATGGATAGTCTGTCTGATTGTGCTCTGCAAGCAAGTGGCGGACGGCATGGAGAGATTTCGTGGTGGCAGACCATGGCGGAGCTTAGCGGCGCACGTGGCAGTGATAGGGTTGAAGATGAGGAGTGAGGGAGGGAGTAGTCGAGGGACGAGGGAGGAGGGAGGAGTGGGTAAGGGGGGAGGGGGAGACGTGGCCTGTTGTCCCCACTTCTAACCCGGCGGACGGCCGCTGTGCCGGGGTTCTCTTCCACAGATGTCGACGAGTGTGCCTCGAGCCCGTGCCGGAACGGCGGCCGCTGCGTGGACAGCACCAACGAGTACTCCTGCCGCTGTCCCGCCGGATACACCGGGACCAATTGTGAGATCGGTGAGACGCGAACAGACGACGGCGCATTGCAAACGGACACAATCTGAACCCCACAGCCTCAACGCTGACCCACAGCCTCAACGCTGACCCATAGCCTCAACGCTGACCCATAGCCTCAACGCTGACCCATAGCCTCAACACTGACCCATAGCCTCAACGCTGACCCATAGACTCAACACTGACCCATAGCCTCAACGCTGACCCATAGACTCAACGCTGACCCACAGCCTCAACGCTGACCCATAGCCTCAACACTGACCCATAGCCTCAACGCTGACCCATAGACTCAACACTGACCCACAGCCTCAACACTGACCCACAGACTCAACACTGACACACAGCCTCAACGCTGACCCACAGCCTTAACACTGACCCATAGCCTCAACGCTGACCCACAGCCTCAACGCTGACCCACAGCCTCAATACTGACCCACAGCCTCAACGCTAACCCACAGCCTCAATGCTGACCCACAGACTCAACGCTGACCCCAGCCTCAACGCTAACCCACAGTCTCAACGCTGACCCACAGACTCAACGCTGACCCACAGACTCAACGCTGACCCACAGCCTCAACGCTGACCCACAGACTCAACGCTGACCCATAGCCTCAACGTTAACCCACAGCCTCAACGCTAACCCACAGTCTCAACGCTGACCCACAGCCTCAACGCTGACCCACAGACTCAACGCTAACCCACAGCCTCAATGCTGACCCACAGACTCAACGCTAACCCCAGCCTCAACACTAACCCACAGACTCAACGCTGACCCACAGACTCAACGCTGACCCACAGACTCTTGGCTATTGTCCGATCGTCCCTTCCTGCCAATTGCCACTCACTTCTATTCACGTCATGGGATGGTGCCATTCATCTTGTGTGTGTGTTCTCTAATCCGTGCTCTTCCTCTTTCTGAAGTCAAACGGTGGCCGGTTGTTGTTGTTGTTGTTGTTGTTTTGGATTGCGCCCTTACTTTAAAACAATAAACACCGCAGCGACTTCCACGCGCGCTTATTGGCCAGCGAGCTGCTTAGTCAACCATCCTTCGCTGCCTCCCTGAGCCTACTTGCTGTACAGCCGCTCCGCTCTGGGGAAGCCCACCCCACAAACTGAACGCCGTAAAAAAATAAAAATAAACGAAATCACCAAAACGCATGAAATTAGATTCAAATACATTTCAGATTTTTTTTGGGCTTGCCAGGAAAGCCTCATCGAGTACTCGAAGATTCGCTCTCAATGAGCGTCTTGTCTGAGATGATCGTCGATTTGTCGTGTGACGCTTACAGAAAAAAATGTATAATTGGGAAATAATCACGCTCAGTGAACTATTTGTCTTTTGTCAACGTGACACATTTTTTTACTGATTGGCCGTGTCGGGTGATGGAGGGTTGCGACACATTTATAAATAACGCGATCTAACCCAAAAAAACCTTTAGCATGAACCACGCTCATTTGAACACGGTGGCTTTTGCGACCAACGTTATTCATAATAAACGTTCTTTTGTGTCCCAACGCGTAATTTCTTATGGGTTAAACTCGCCCCCGCCGTAGCAATTTGGAATTCCCACCGCTGGCCCTGCAGGGCTGTCTACGGGATGTGCGCACCGATGCCTCGATGCTCGTTTTGAGCTGGCCTTCGCTTCGGCTCTCTCGGACGTTTTTACCGAGCCGGCGAGCCGCTCGTCGCTGAGCAGCGAAGGGCTCCAAGGCGTCGTCGCAGCTCGCGACTTGCAGCCTCCCGAGGCATCGTGGATGGCGACGGCGCTTTGCTGGTGCACCTTGTAGCTCGCGCGCTCGTTCACGCTAACACGCTCGCTCGCTCCTGTGTACACACTCGCTCGTTCACTCTCGTATACACACTCGCTCGTTCACACTCTCGTGTGCACGCTCGCTACTGTGTACACTCGCTCGTTCACACTCTCGTGTGCACGCTCGCTCGTGTGTACACTCGCTCGTTCACACTCTCGTGTACACGCTCGCTTGCTCGCTACACGGCTTGCAGACATTTGACTCGCTGCTCAAGGAAAATGCAACCGATTTGAGGATGTAATTCCTGGTGACCGATTCATTGAAATTGTTCAATCCTCCCCGCCATCTCGGCCAACAAAACATACGAATCGCCAATTGTTGGTCCCGGTAGTGCCGCTGGCAGGAAGTTGTGTCTCGAGGTGACCGCCACTTCACTCTGGAACAAATCCCCCAGGCAAAGCAAGTGGACAAGAGCCACGTGGGTTTACGTATCACCGTAACAGGACCGCTTCCTAACGCGCAGCGGGGCACCATCGATGTCCTAGAGAGAGAGAGGCGCTGTCTCAGTCACAGGCCGAAGTGCTGGACCCCAGCCTACAGCAAGGGAATTGACTGCACGAGCGGCTTGGGGTAAAGGGAGTTGCGGACTCTGGGGGGGTCAGCAGAGGAGAATGAGCCAACTCCCCACTGAGCGACGGGAGCCTTCCACAGAAAGATGTTGTTGGAGGGGAGTAGAGTGAGATCACAGGGGAGGGGTAGGTGAGTGTGTGGAGGGGAGTGAGAGGTAGGTGAGTGTGTGGAGGGAGTGAGAGGTAGGTGAGTGTGTGGAGGGGAGTGAGAGGTAGGTGAGTGTGTGGAGGGGAGTGAGAGGTAGGTGAGTGTGTGGAGGGGAGTGAGAGGTAGGTGAGTGTGTGGAGGGGAGTGAGAGGTAGGTGAGTGTGTGGAGGGAGTGAGAGGTAGGTGAGTGTGTGGAGGGGAGTGAGAGGTAGGTGAGTGTGTGGAGGGGAGTGAGAGGTAGGTGAGTGTGTGGAGGTGAGTGAGAGGTAGGTGAGTGTGTGGAGTGAGAGGGGAGAGGTAGGTGAGTGTGTGGAGGGGAGTGAGAGGTAGGTGAGGGTGTGGAGGGAGTGAGAGGTAGGTGAGTGTGTGGAGGGAGTGAGAGGTAGGTGAGTGTGTGGAGGGGCGTGAGAGGGGAGAGGTAGGAGAGTGCGTGGAGGGGAGTGAGAGGTAGGTGAATATGTGGAGGGGAGTGAGAGGTAGGTGAGTGTGTGGAGGGGAGTGAGAGGTAGGAGAGTGTGTGGAGAGGGGGGAGAGGTAGGTGAGTGTGTGGAGGGAGTGAGAGGTAGGTGAGTGTGTGGAGGGGAGTGAGAGGTAGGTGAGTGTGTGGAGGGGAGTGAGAGGTAGGTGAGTGTGTGGAGGGGAGTGAGAGGTAGGTGAGTGTGTGGAGGGGAGTGAGAGGGGAGAGGTAGGTGAGTGTGTGGAGGGGAGTGAGAGGTAGGTGAGTGTGTGGAGGGGAGTGAGAGGTAGGTGAGTGTGTGGAGGGGAGTGAGAGGTAGGTGAGTGTGTGGAGGGGAGTGAAAGGTAGGTGAGTGTGTGGAGGGGAGTGAGAGGTAGGTGAGTGTGTGGAGGGGAGTGAGAGGTAGGTGAGTGTGTGGAGGGGAGTGAAAGGTAGGTGATTGTGTGGAGGCAGTGAGAGGTAGGTGAGTGTGTGGAGGGGAGTGAGAGGTAGGTGAGTGTGTGGAGGGGAGTGAGAGGGGAGAGGTAGGTGAGTGTGTGGAGGGAGTGAGAGGTAGGTGAGTGTGTGGAGGGGAGTGAGAGGTAGGTGAGTGTGTGGAGGGATTTAAGTATCGGGGCGATGCCGTCTCTGTTGTGAGATCACCAGGTGAGCAGTCTGCCTGTCGCGTTCTGGATCTTGAGTTTGTAGGTGAGGGAAGTGGTGAGGTGAGTGAAGTGGTGAGGTGAGTGACGTGGTGAGGTGAGGGAAGTGGTGAGGTGAGTGACGTGGAGAGGTGAATGACGTGGTGAGGTGAATGACGTGGTGAGGTGAGTGAAGTGGTGAGGTGAGTGACGTGGAGAGGTGAGTGACGTGGTGAGGTGAATGACGTGGTGAGGTGAGTTACGTGGTGAGGTGAGTGACGTGGTGAGGTGAGTGACGTGGTGAGGTGAGTGAAGTGGTGAGCTGAGTGACGTGGTGGGGTGAGGGAAGTGGAGAGGTGAGTGACGTGGTGAGGTGAGTGACGTGGTGAGGTGAGTGACGTGGTGAGGTGAGTGACGTGGTGAGGTGAGTGAAGTGGTAAGCTGAGTGACGTGGTGAGGTGAGGGAAGTGGAGAGGTGAGTGACGTGGTGAGGTGAGTGACGTGGTGAGGGAAGTGGTGAGGTGAGTGAGGTGGTGAGGTGAGTGACGTGGTGCGGTGAGTGACGTGGTGAGGTGAGGGAAGTGGTGAGGTGAGTGAAGTGGTGAGGTGAGTGACGTGGTGAGGTGAGGGAAGTGGTGAGGTGAGTGACGTGGAGAGGTGAATGACGTGGTGAGGTGAATGACGTGGTGAGGTGAGTGAAGTGGTGAGGTGAGTGACGTGGAGAGGTGAGTGACGTGGTGAGGTGAATGACGTGGTGAGGTGAGTTACGTGGTGAGGTGAGTGACGTGGTGAGGTGAGTGACGTGGTGAGGTGAGTGAAGTGGTGAGCTGAGTGACGTGGTGGGGTGAGGGAAGTGGAGAGGTGAGTGACGTGGTGAGGTGAGTGACGTGGTGAGGTGAGTGACGTGGTGAGGTGAGTGACGTGGTGAGGTGAGTGAAGTGGTAAGCTGAGTGACGTGGTGAGGTGAGGGAAGTGGAGAGGTGAGTGACGTGGTGAGGTGAGTGACGTGGTGAGGGAAGTGGTGAGGTGAGTGAGGTGGTGAGGTGAGTGACGTGGTGCGGTGAGTGACGTGGTGAGGTGAGGGAAGTGGTGAGGTGAGTGACGTGGTGAGGTGAGTGAGTGAAGTGGTGGTGGTGGTGAGGTGAGTGACGTGGTGAGTGAAGTGGTGGTGGTGAGGTGAGTGAAGTGGTGAGGTGGTGAGTGAAGTGGTGGTGAGGTGAGTGGCGTGGTGAGTGAAGTGGTGGTGGTGAGTGACGTGGTGAGGTGGTGAGTGAAGTGGTGGTGAGGTGAGTGACGTGGTGAGGTGGTGAGTGAAGTGGTGGTGAGGTGAGTGACGTGGTGAGGTGGTGAGTGAAGTGGTGGTGAGGTGAGTGACGTGGTGAGGTGGTGAGTGAAATGGTGGTGAGGTGAGTGAAGTGGTGGTGGTGAGTGACGTGGTGAGGTGGTGCGTGAAGTGGTGGTGAGGTGAGTGACGTGGTGAGGTGGTGAGTGAAGTGG